ACACGCACACACACTACACACGCGCATACACACGTACATACACACACACACAAACACACATACACACGCACGCACATACACACACACACACACACACCACACACACACACACACACACACACACACAACACACACACACACACACACACACACACACACAATCCTACCCATAGATACACCTGCACAATAAAGTGGACACGCCCACATTACGCAACAGCATATCGAGCCACTAATATCGGAAAGTCTTCTAAATGTGTTTCTTCCCTGATAAAATTGCTGCAAATTACCGGTTCATAAGTAAGTAATGGCCGTTTGGTCGAATAATAATTTCATACGGTGTATCAGTCATCTTGGCATTTTAGATAAATGTTTCAAGCTAAAATTACTGTCCACTAGTTCCTTAATTTAATGCGTCGGTAGCATGACTCGCCAGATATTGCTTAGAGATGTGTACTTTACGCATGTCTTCTGGCGTGAAACGGTATGTAACATAATTGTCTGTGCGTCGAAAACAATCAAAATTATTTCAAAATTCTGCACTGAAAAAAAAAAATGTTGCAGCAGTATGTTGATGAGGAAGTGAATGAGTAAATAAAATATCAAAGATTTTGAGTTGGCGTCACATGTGTCTGATTTTTATCACCAAATTGAATCTTAAGAACCTTTCTTATCCTTATTCGCACGATACTCATTTTGTAATGATTGTTAAGGTTATTGAATACAACTCGGTACTTTATTAAAGTAATCGAGTTGAATATGCATAGTGACAGAATTCATTAATCTTGTTTAAACAAATAAGGAATAATTAGGGATTACGCGTCTCTTCATAGTATACACTGCCTATGAGCGAAATAAACGATTTTTTTTTGTATTTCGACATTTTTCAGAAGTGCCCAAGTTTGAGCTGAATGTTACAATTGCATCAGGTTACTTTTCAATATAATTCGTTGACAAAAGACCAGGGTAAAATAAAAGGACCATGGTAATTTGTTTCCTTTATTGTACACAAACAAAGAGGCTTGTCAATCCATATTATTTCAACATTCCAGAAAAATACAAAAAAATATTTCTCCGTACAAATACGGAGTTTGACTTTAAAGTTTCAGTTTACAATATCACTGTACAAGTTTCCCACTCAAATTATACCTATACTACTGGAACCTTCCACAGTTTAATCTAGAATATGCATAAATAGTAGTGTACACATAACTTACATCAAATTTTCTTATATGCAATGCAAAGTATATTACTATCACTCCTGAAGTCACTACTTTGTGTGTGTGTGTGTGTGTGTGTGTGTGTGTGTGTGTGGTGGTGTGACGAACAAAGAAACATTGTTTTGTGTGTATAAGCATCATAAAGATAGTTCCAGATAAATAAATAAATAAATAAAAAATATATGCTCAGGAGATAACCTATGTCTAAAATTTTCAAGGCTAAGAATATAAGAATTCCCATATATGGAAAGGAATTTTGTGTCAAAGAAAACCCTTAAAAGATAGCCTACCTTGTGAAATCTAGATAAACATCAATAATGAGTTCAGATCTGCAAAGAAAATTGTAAGTTTGATGTCAATTCCTTCAAAATTTGCAGGAGCTGAGTGGCAATGAGTTGTGAAGGAGAGGAGGGGTGTGGTGCACCGGCGACTTAGGGGTTGGATGCACGAACACAGAAAATCATTTTTTTCTTATACGGAACACATCTTCTCATTATCATTATCATCATGAACATAATCCCCACCATCAATGCGATTATCATTACTATTATTTCCAATATCAATATTATATGGGAATGTTGGGACATAAAGGGAAGCATTTTATCTACTGCATCCTTACATTTTCTACTTCTGTGATGTAAGAGGAATGCACTGTATATCTGGCAGTTGTTTCATATAACTCCCCAATCAAGGTTTAATGTATAATATATGTACATATAAGAAATTTATACACACACTCCTCTCCCGCTACAAAAAGATCCATTTACAGCCTTAAAACTATATAAACACTTAATACTTTAGAACACAGGTGGTCTTACAGATCCTACTTTTGAGTCTTCATTTTCCTTTGACCTATAGTCTGGTAACTTGTAGAAATGAGGTAATGTTTATGAGAAAATGAATAGTATTAATAAATAGCTTTGTATGATATTGTTAATAATTCACTTCCCATTACCTAACAACAGGAAGACATCCCTTGGCAGTTATAATTCATCACATTTTGAGAAGTGGTCCTCAATGCAGTTAACAATAGCACAGCATGTCTAAAAAGTAATCCATTTATTGTAGTCTCTTGGCTTCCTATTTCATGCTTTCACTCAAGAGAACCAAGTACAGCTTAAAATATACATATATACACACATGAAAAAGAGGTGTGGGAACAACTTCCCATGTGCCTTATTACAGACATAATATTGTCTTATTTGAGAAAGTGAATATCTCCTAACTGTTTCCTTACTAAAAAGTATTATGGAATTGCTGCAATATAATTCATGAACCCAACAAAAACATTGGAAGGCCTACACTGCACATATATATGATGGTGTGCACCAAGTGTTTACAACTGGCTTGTATACTTGTATAGACTTGATTTGATAAAAAAAAAGAAATAATGAGGCATAAGTGCCTTTTTTTTTTGCTTAAACTCCTGCAAAAGTAACCAACTACCATGGAGCAAAGTCTATAATAAAATGGGTTATAAATAGTAATGGTGGCAAAACATAAGGTGTCCCTAGTGAGATGGTCTTTCTTGGCACTAATTGAGATTACATACCATCAAAAGGCAAAGGTTTTCTTACAAAAGTATGATCAGTATATTTCCCTTAAAGTGAAATTCTGCTCATAAGCCTATGTGGTCAGGGTTTTTTTCTGGAAAACGATAGCACATTGAGACTGCTAAGTTATTCTTTTTACTGATCATATATCATACAACTGCATTTCTTTTGTGCTCAAGGTTTTTGAGGTGTTCCACCTTCCAGATGATGCTAATTTGCATATTTCATGTACCATTGCTCAAAAAGACAAAAACAATACAATAAAAGTACTAATCTGGAGGTCTTTCCGTATATGGTTTCCGAGTGAGACATTATTTTCTGCTCAAAACAGCAAAAATTGCCTTCACATTTCTCTCTCAAAGCATTTAAGACAAAGGTTTGGTCAAAATTTAAAAAATAAATAAATCTAGAAACCCATATTTTTGGCTTCTATAACAATAACATAGAGAAATAATAATAATACATCACTAATCTTAATACATTACGAATGATTCAGCATCAGGAAATGTGATTAAAATAGACCAATAATTGACATAAATCATAATAACAACACAACTTTCTACAGAATCAATCAAATGCTAGAGGTGGGTGGGTTAGCAAATGCCAACACAGCTGGGAAATGAGTGCCATCTTGAAGTCACATGCAAACTATATTTCAAGTGTGCAATTTTCTTTTGTGTTTCCTCTTATTATTTTGTTATCTATTGTCATGCTTTACTCTAATCCACTCATTGTTGTGATATAATGAACATACCTATAAAATTGAGAAAATTTTGCAATAACATCAAAGCACCACCTATGATACCCTGCAAGGGTTTTGTATTTGAGGCCCATCATTCACAAAGGAAATTTGAAACTTCCCTTAACTTAATTTTAACCATGGAAACCCATAGCTATCCAGATGGTCCCCTAAAATCAGGGAATGTTTGACCAGTTGTAAATATGATGACTTTGAAACCAATAGAAAAAACAGTAATAATTTTTCACACACTGAAAAATACATACAGATAATATGACTTCACTTTCCGAAGGACAGACTAGTGGTTTGATCTCCTGCATACAGCTGCTCAGACACAAGTTGAAGTGAATTCCCTCTCTACTCTATCTTGTACAAACCATACTTGACACTTTAGAATAACTTAAAGCTTAAACTGAGGAACTATTACCCATTTTTCTGATTCTGTTCCAGTTTATGAAGATGCAACCTTTGTTTCTAAGCTTCCCTCAAGACTTCCTGCCCCTGGAGGATTTTGAAGATGATCTTCTTCCTGGCTGCTTTTGTACTACTATTCGTTTAACACTGGTTTTTTGACTCCACTCAGTGTTCCTTTGGGACAAGCTTTCTATTGCAGGGGATCGTGATGTCCTGGGCATTTTGGAAGGTGGTTGCTGGAACGGACTGGGTTTCGCCTCTGCAACCTGGGGGGATGATTCTTGGTCGTATTTCACTAATATTTTCTCAAAGAGTGATTCTGTCCTTGTGATGGTGACCTCCTTGGTAGGATGCACTTTCTGCTGGTGACTGATATGCAGTTCTTTATTCACTTGCTTTTCAGGACAGTATGGACATGAATAGGGTCGTGACTTTGCATGTTTTGAGGTGTGTGTTTTAAAATCATTATAATTCAAAGTCTTGTATGGACAATCTGAACATGTAAAAAATTTGTCTTCTATATGGCTTATTTTGTGATAATTCAAAAGATCTTCACTTTCAAAACATTTTTCACACTGGGAACACTTATTTAAAGTAGTGTCACCATTTTCATTGCTACTTTGCCTTTTTCTACTTTCAACATTATTATTAAAACTACTTTCCACTACCATACTGCTCGTCACAGTGTGGGTCAGTACATGGTCACCATTAGCATTCTTTACAGCTTTAAGATCAACAAGTTCTTTAACTTCATTTTTTCCTTGTTCTCCAACAATCTGAAAATGAAAAATATAAAAATTAAATTTGTCTTTGTTCTCCAACTAGAAAATGGGAAAAAAAAAAATTGCTTAGAACTTTAAAACATGAATCACAGTCTTCATTTCCTTTCTTTCACTCATTGTAAAAGTAAATTCAATATAAGTAAAAATGAGTGCAAGTACAGAAGAACTATCCAATGTGGTTTAATCTTACTGAATTTGTTTACATGCAAATGGCTTCACAGTCACAAAGGAATCAATTACCACACTGGATCTGTGTGACAGAAAAAAATTGGCTAAGGGCCAGGTATGTACAGTCATGAAAAAATCTGGCTGAGGCCCAGGGTGACGGGACTGTGTCAATAAAAATCATGCTGATGGTGAGGGTGACAGCAATGACGTCAATAATACACAAGATCTCAGAGGATGATTAGAAAGGGGCTCTTGGGTGATTACCACCAGTAAACGAGAGCGAAACATCCCATCAGCAATGGATGATGATAACAATAATGATAATAATAAAAATTATAATACTACTAATAATAATACCTAATAACAACAATAACAACAATAATAATAATAGCTAATAATACTGATGATGATGATTATGAATCAAAAGCAATATCAATAATAACCAATAATTCTTGTAATAATAATGACAGTGATGATGATGATGATGATATGATGATGATGATGATGATGATGATGATGATATTATTAATAATAATTATAATAACAATAATCATAATAATAATAATAATTACAATAATAATAATCATAATAGTCATAATAACAATAATCTATGTGTAAACAAAACTACTGAAATAAAAAAATTATCGACAGTGTATGTATCTAGCAACAATGGGCTAACATCGAAAAAGCACGACTCCAAAAGCAAATGATTACAATCTCATTTGACTAATATATCTCAGCACTGCTGCCTTGAGAACCTATGAGGAAAAAAATTAAAATAACATTAAAAAGAAAATCATATTATACTTACCTCAACCAGTTCTCCATTTAATGAAAATTCTGCTAAACTCACAGGTTCTGCAACTTTGACTCCCTCCACTACTTCTTGTTTGATGCTTTGAAAGACTGTCTGGTTCTCCTGGGGATAATGCATGGGCCAATTATACAAAAGCATATGCAGACAAGTTATTTTAAGAAATCTTTCTAAAAGTAATATCATATCTACAGCACAGGACCGTTGATTCAAATTATGTTTGACTATAGTCAAAGAAATATGTTAAATTAGACATCCAAAATAGTGCTTGAGTCAAGTACCTATTACACTAATGCAAACAGGAGCACAAACAAGTACTTGGATATACACTTATTCTCCAAGCAGACACCATATAAGTAAGTGTGTTTTGGACCCAAGGAATTGTGCAAAAGATTTAGGCCCACTTTTCCATGGCACTAAGACTTAAATTCGAAAAGTAAAAAACATTGGTTACAACTGAAGTCATTATACAATATTTGTGATGAAAATCAGAATTACCTCAGTATCAGTAAAGAACCAAAGCCAGTCAATTTTGCTTTGTAGCCTATTATAATTTTCTAAAAGATTCTTTCATTTGATCAATCTATTTGAAAATGTACAGTCAATGATACGCCAATTCTAAGGGCCTGGTAAAGGGAGGAAAGTCCAACAAAGAAATTTCAAGCATCACCAGCATTCCATTGCATTCTTTATCTATTTTTTATTCTATAATAACATTTCAAATCTTAAAATGTCACCAAGAATCATTTATTTAATTGTTTAACACACAAGAGTAAATCAAAGCTGAATTTCTACATTGTATAACATTCATGACAAACATATTTCCTATGACATGAGTGCATGTTTTAATTTGTACTTTTTTACGCAAATATTAGGAATGGTGGACTCTGCAAAATAAATTCTTCTGTCATGGAATTCTTGCAAGACGTTTATTTATTACTATTATCATTATTAGTGCAAAAATCAAAAGGCATGAACAAGATGTAAAGCATGAAACAATAATCTAATTTTGGTTTCACAATCTCTAATAATAATAATAATTTATGCTCAAGGTAATCAATCATCCTCTAATAAACAAATAAAAAATTCTTTAAAATCCTTTTTACAACTTTCTCACTCACTGACCATTTTCATATACATGCACTAGCCTGCATAAATTTGAAGGCAGACACGTATAACGTAGAACCATAATTTCCTTTTGAGTGAGAGGTCTTTACAAAGAATGTTTCAAAATCTCCGGAAGGTGCCATTTTCAACTAAATTTAGAATTTTCTAAATATGTGTTAAAATGCATATGATTGCAGCTAATACAAAAGTCTTTGCTTAAGAAAAAAAAAAAAACAAATTCAATAAGAATTTTCAGTCAAATAGGTGTGGGATGGGGGTTGCACAGAGGCAGGGCCTAACTACAAGAGAGGTTATAATGAAAAAAGTTGAAGAAAAAATGACCTGGACCTCTGAAATACTGTTAAAATATAAACATACCTACTCAGGCATTATTTCTTAAACTGTATATGCTTTTATTACCACTTTAAAGAGAGAGAGAGAAAAAAAAAGAAAAAAAAAAAAAAAAAAAAGAGACACCTGAAGAGGAAGAAGTGGTGAAGAGGGAAAAACAAAACCTACCTTTAAAACACTGAAGATGACCAAGTCCAAAAGATGCATTAGTAATAAAATACAGTACATTATGAAGTACCTGGGATGATACATTATTGCTAATAAGATTGATCTTGTGTTTAAATCAATCAGTTTCTGACTTCAGTACCAGTCAGACTTTCAAATTAGCTATATCTACTTATCACTACAGGTATAAGTACAGTTCAACTACCAAACTACAATATTCACCACTATTATATCTTTGTTCTTTAGAGTATAGATAATACAATTTTATTCTAAATACATATCTTATATGCACACACAGACAAAGGGACACAAAAAGATTTTTCAAAAAAACCTGACCAAGCTGTTTGAAATAGTTAAACTCATGCCTAACTGGTCCTACAAGAAAACATCCAAATCCGGTGAGTGTTATCATACATAATTAAAAGTTTTTGATAAGACTTGCAATTTTTAAAAACTATTTCAATCTTTCATTCACTTCTCATACTTAAGGTCTTTTTTGATAGCAATATTGTTGACAAAATAGCACAAGCAAGTACAACATATTTCTGAATTCCTTCCATAATAAAACAGTCAACTGCCAATTGTGTGCTTGTCCTGCAATTTCACCCATATTAATAGTCTTGAAAAAAAAAATTAAAAGTTAAATCATAGGAGAATTATTACTTTAACAAATGCTGTCTTTTCTTATCCAATTCTACTGGAGATAACTTACAAGGAAAATGATACATTGAGAGATCCATTGTGTTTGACTACCTTTGATGTTCCCTTGTGCTCTCTGATATATCAAGGCAAGGCCTGACTGACTTGAATCAAATCAATCATATTTCTTGTCATTCAGCCTAGGCTCAAAGTTTGATGCATAGATAATTGGACAAGAACTGAAGATTTGCCATATCCAAAGTATATTAAGACAAGTATGCAGTATCAACTTTATGTATGTATGTTTGTATGTATGTATTGCATATTTGACACGCAAAATGTGTGTGTGCGTGTATGTATGTTTATGTGTATGTGTGTTTAAGTGTGTGTGTATTTATGTGTGTATGTGTATATTTGTGTGTGTATGTGTATATGTGTGTATATGTACTTGTGTATGAGTATGTGTGCATATGTATGTGTGTATGTATGTATATGTGTGTGTATGCATGTTTGAGTGTGTATGTGTATGCATGTGTGAGTATGTGTGAGTGTGGGTGTGAGTGTGTGTCTGTATACACTGACAAATACATATGTGTGTGTGTGTGTGTGTGTGTGTGTGTGTGTGTGTGTGTGTGTGTGTGTGTGTGTGTGTGTGTGTGTGTGTGTCTATATATATATATATATAATATATATATATATATATATATATATATATATATATAATATATATATATATATATATGTACACTGACAAATGCATCCCCCCCCCGTACGTGCGCACAAACACGAACACACACACACATTTTGTGTGTCAAATATGCAATACATACATAAAAACATACATACATAAAAGTTAATACTGCATACTTGTCTTGATATATGTGTATACACCCTTTATTTGTGGCATTGAATCTATAAATATAGATCCATATCAATTAATCAATTACTAAATAGTTTTCATATCTACAAGTATATCAAGCAATCATTAAACTCTACAATTCTACATCTCATAAGAAACACACACCAGCTCTGAAACCACTCTCTTGGAGGTTACTGTCTACATTACCTAATATGCAGTACTTGTATCTAGCTATGAAAAAATATATGCTGCATTGTAATTACCACTTGTACTTGGTTTTCAGGGTGGTCACTTGTATTCATGAGGCCCCTGATCCTCAGTTCTTGTGCAACTTCTAATAGCCGGTCAAAGTCCTTGCCATGCACTTCTGCCTGGCCGAGATACATGAAGTCAAGCAACTTCTCTAATGCCTCAGAAGGGATACCGGCAAGAACAATAATGGGATGTTTGCTGGGGATGTGCTCAAAAAGCTCTTCAAAGTATGAGCTGCACATGGCCAGAACAAACTTATGAGCTGGATAGTGCTTCTTGTTGCAGACTAAGGTCACATCTGCAAACTGCTCCTGTAAGAAGATTTTACACATTAACCAAATATATCAAATGCATGATGTTTTCTCAATTACCTCTTAATGGTAACCGTTCTCTTCTGGGGAAAAATATCAATAAGAGAACCTTGAAAATAATCATTTGATTGGAAGGGGGGATATTCACTTATTATTTCAATCCCTCCCTCCCCTTTTGTCCCTATGCAAGATACAGTATAATTTATCCAAAATACCTTATAACGCAGAGCTGTAATCACTCTCTGGAGAACTTGCAGATGATCAGTCCACGATAAGGAGAAATCAGAATCCTCGTAGTCCTCTGCCATTTTCATGTACTGAAAGAATGCTGTTATTAAGTTATTTTGAAACAGTTTGACTTTGTTCACTGACACTATTCTAAAGAGAATGATGACAAATCTTCAAATGGAAAATATTTATATTATTGATATAATAAGCAGGGAACAATGATATTTCTTCCTATACTTCTCTGATACCACTTATTTCATGCTATAGGAAACTTCTGTGCATCTACAGAAAGCCAATATCTTTCAAACATGTATATTCTGCCAAGAGAGCTTGAAGACCTCTCAGGCATTTTTTTCCTAAAATAAAGAACTACCTAAAGGTCTATCTTGCCTAGACATAAAAGATGGAGGTCTGCTTGCCTATGTTACAGCAACATAGATACAGAGGCTATGGTGGCCTGATCAACAAAGTGCAATATAACATTAGCTTTCGGTAGGATAGTTCTAGTGTTTAGATTTCCATACAGTCAGTTTTTATAACAAAAAGCCAAGAAGTCATGATATTCAGAGGTTGCACAATCCTGTTTTTGCTAAACTAAATTACTGCCTCAATGTTATTGTGAACATTTAATACTACTTCCCTATAAAGAAATACTGTGTGACGCTCTGTAGAACCATTTTCTTTCAGAAATTCTGACTGGCCAGTATTCTTTAATTTTACTATGTCAATTAAGATGTTTACCCTGCAATATTTTGTATACATTGTATACTTTTCCCGTCTAAAAGGGCTGATGTTGTCAAAAGTGTGGGACACCCACACATATAAACAAATGTTAATAATTTAGAAAAGATGGTTAATCTTTGTTGTGGGCACATTAAGCAAAGGCAAATTGAAGATGATATTCTTATAGAGGACAAAAATTGGAGTCATTGGTACAAGAAATAATTTGCAGATATGAATGGTAATGCCACAAATTAAGGAAAAAGATTGTGGAAAGTGCTGCTCACAGTCTGAGTCCCCTTGGTGCTCCTGAGTTTCAGCTCTGCCTTGCTGTGAATACGGAGAAGACAATGTTTGGAAGGGGGGGTTGAGGGTGGAGCCTCCAATCAACCCTCCCCTCAGGTAGTCACCAAGTCATGGCAACCTAGATTGTTACCAATTGGGGACTTGCAGAAAGTTTTTTTAAATTGTGTGAGGGTCGACCCAAAGAATATTCATAAATACAGAAATATTGAATAAAAATGTAGCTTCAAGATCAAGTTTCCTTTCTTCTGGACACCATAATCTATGTCCACAACAGCCATGAGATGGGCCTGCCAGCACTGTGTCGTTTGCACATCCATAATCACTGTGATGGCCGAGCGTGGAGGGTGCTCACACTCTGTGAATGATTTCATGTGTGAAATCACCATAAGCCAGAATGCCTTGCTGTAAAGGGATAGGGCCTGTACTAGGTGTGGGCAGCCAGCATGCCTGGAACTTATCAAGAAAAGGTTTAGGTGTGATAAGGCCATGGTAGTCACGAAGCAGAAGAGGAAGAAATGTGGCTGGTCTGCCTCATTGTTCATGGGTTCCATCTTTGAGCGAACTCACCTCAACTTTGAGACCCTGCTGATCTTTGTGACCTACTTTGTCCAGGAGAGGTTCACATACCAGTTCAAGCTGCACGAGCTGGGCCTGAGCCTAGTGAGCTTCACTGACTGGTCGAGTTTCTACTGGGAGGTGATGGTTCACTGGGCTCTTGATCAACAGGGTATGATCATGGGCCAGGGATGGATTGTCGAGATAGATGTGAATACTTCGCAAGGTGCCTGAATCAGTGCATTTTCCTCATGCACAACCAGGACCTGAACGTGAGGATGCACCACTTCCTGTGTACTGCAGTGTCACACTATCCTCCAGCCTAGAACCACCTGCTGAATGTACCCCACCTCCGTCACCTTCTTCAGCATTAGTCAAGTTGGTACATTAAAAATCTAAAATTATCTATTACTGTGAACTACTTGTGGGACGCATGTAGTTGTTTAGTTCCATGTTGCTGTGACTATGTTGAGGATTTTTTGTTTCCTTGGCAAGGGTAGGCCTAGGGGATGGTAGCATTATATTATGTGTTATTATTGTTATTTCACCTTGTAATTTCCCTGGTACCTTTCAAACCCTCCACTGCTATTGGAGACAAGCTTCTCGCTAATGAGAGGCTTTCTGTGCAATAAAATCTATATATTTGGATAATAGAGGGTGAGAAGCATCCAATGATAACAATATCATCCTGATCCATTAGGCAGAACTATTGTATAAAAATACCCAACAAAACTGAGTATATGAGATTGAGATTATTATTTGCGAGTTCTAGATTGTTGAGTTATACCATACAAGACAATAGCTTGTATTCTACATTTACAATGCCTGATGTCTGTAAAAGCTGACTATTACCCATACCATCACCACTTGAGCCAATGCTACCTCTATAGTTGACTTCCAGGGACAAAAAGTTACTGTAAAGACCTATAGGGTGAGGATACTGATGCCAAACACGTTAGTCTCGGCAACAGAGCTTCTATATAGAACTGCTATCAATTGCAAGTGCTGTTTATCCTGTACTTAACGGCTATCCAAAAATGTAATAAATACTGCAATAACTGCCCGTAACCCTCGTAATATTCTGCGAAGATGCTTCACAATTTACCCAAACAAGAGCAGACCCACACTCCCCGCCTCATATATCGCAGCCAATCAGTCTACAAACCAATTACCTACTCTGTGGGTAATTCACCATCTAAATCTAACACACAATTGTTGCTACATGATGACATGAATTTATTACCTCACAAAACGGCAAATGTATGCAGGCGTAAAGCAGATGGGTTTGTTGTGATACACGTGCTTCCCTCTGGCAGCCGCTTGAGTAACTATGTGGGAGAGGATTTAAATTTATTCTCACCGTCCTTTATATATAATACTCTTATTTGTGACATCAATTCCCCCCTTTCTCCTCCTCCTCAGCATCACCGTAAAATACTGATGATAAGGTTACTCTTTACGGTATGGGCGTATTAAGTTAAGTGAAATTAAAGATGATAATTATGTAGAGGACAAAAGTTGCAGTCGTCGAAACAAGCAATAATCTGCAGATAGGAACCATACACACAATAACGCCACAAATAAAGGAAAAAAGACCGCTCACAGCTAAAGTCCATTTGGTATTCTCATGTTTTGGCTCTACGTCGCCATGCATACTGAGATGCAGACAATGGCAGAGTCCCCCATTAACTCCTCCCTCGGGAAATTACCGAAGGGCACGCCCAGTCAAGGCAGCTTAGATTGCTGAATAAATTTTGTGACGTAGTGGTAAAGAATTACCAAGAACAATGATTATAATAATAATGATAACAATATTATGCAAGAATAATTATGATATAATAATGATGATGATAATAATAACAATAATAATAATGATGATGATAATAATGATGATAATAAACAATAATAATGTGATAATAATGTAATAATAATAAAGGTAATGACAATGATATAATGATAATATATAAATAATAATAATGACAACAATAATAATGAATAATAATGATAATGATAATAATAAATAATGATGATAATGTAATGATGATAATGATAATAATTAACAACAAAAAAACAAACAATAATAATGATAATAGTAATAGTAATATTGATATAATGATAATGATATTTTAAAATAATAATAATTGTGATAATAATGGTAATGATGATACTACAACTAATACTAAAGATAATGATAATTATAATAAAAACTTCGATACTGATAATGATACTAATAATGATGATGACATTAATAACAATGATAATAATGATAATGATAAGGATAAGGATGATGAGGATGATTAGGAAGGGGCTCTTGCAAGATTAGTGCCAGGAAACGAGAGTGGAACGTACCACCAATGATAATGATATAATGATAATGATAAGATAATTAATAATAATGATAATAATAATTATACCTAACAGTAACAGTAACAACAACAATTATAGTGAAAAACAACGACAATGATTATTATAAGAATTATTATAATTATGATAAAACGGATAATGATAACGATAACAATAACAATGATAAATATAGCTAATGATATTGATGATGATGGAGATGATTATTATAATCAATATCTTTTCTATTATCATTATTGTTACTATCATGACTGTGATAGTAATAATAGCAATGGTGAGAATAAAAATGATAATGATAACAATAATGTTAATGATAACAAAAAGGATGATATTGTGTGCCATACCTGTTTGTAATTCATGTCAATGGGCCTGGATTGCTGCATGAAATGGTTCTGTGAGATGTAATGTCCAAATGTTCGCTTAAATTCCTCACTTCACAACTTGCAATGCATTTTCCACCAACCTTCCACTCTGGCCGAGATTCAAGCCGAACTATCGCTTTCACTTCTTCACTTCGTTTTAGTCATTCTCATATGAATTGATTTAAAATATTTGAAGATGAAAAAAAGAAAAAAGAAGATTTAAAAAAAAATATTCATCTATTCATTTACTTGAAATTCAGTCAAGATATTTCAGATCCATGGACTGAGGTTTATTAGCTCAGCTCAGTACCCCTTTGCGAGAGGTTCTAGTGATGCGTGAGATTTAAGAAAGGGCCAAGGTCTCTATACTCCCTTTGCTTATCACACGCTGACCATGCTAGGCGATCAGAATGGACATGTTGAGGGGCTCCGGTATGCAATAATGTACGCACAAAAGGTATAGCATGGGTGAGACTATTTGCTTGTAGGTTCTACACGCTTAAAAAGTCTTTTATGCCATTATTTCTAGTTACCAGCCCATTTATTGAATTCATCACTTTTACGTTTGGACGGCATCTTGGAATTTTCAAGATTGGAATACTATTTGGCATATGCATACTTATCCTCATGGTGTGAATCACAAGGGAATTCCCATTTTATAGCAATAGAGTTTCTGCATCATTTCTTTTGCAACATTTAAACAAACTCGATGTTACGAACAAATGTGGAAGTAACGTCATGGAGAATAGTCTTGAATATTTGAAATATTCGTGGTCTGTTCACAAATACTGTACAATCTTTCCTTCAAGGAAGTAACTAGAATAAGAAGATAAATGAAAGGAAAAGAAAATAACAAAACACTTTATTGGTGGACACTATACTTACTCAAAGTGAACAGACAAACATTCAAACAGACAATGTAAAACTGAAGACAGGCAGGCATTTTCAAGATTTTAAAATTTGGACTTGTGAATATCCAAAACCATTTAGACATCTAAAAACAGAATCATATGGAAAAGTAAAAAATAAATGATAGGAAAAATGAAATGATGATAGAAGGAAAATGGGGAAAGACAATTTTCCTAAAAAGGAAAGAA